TTGAAGAGGAACGGTTTCACTGGGCACAGCTCCTTGGGGAGAGCATTCCACAAATGGGGAGCCACCACAGATAAGGCCCGTTCTGGATACATAAAGCAAGAAGTAGATCTGCTTTCAGAAAGATTATTTCCGTGAGAAAGACAAGAATCTGGCAGAATCTCTGGATGTTTCTATTTCCCATTCTTTAAGCATACTTTGATTGAGTAGATAAACAATTCTCCAGGGCTGGATTTGAATCTCTTATTATGTTGCTTTTTTCTTATTCTAACTCTGAACCACTCAACCTTGAAATCAGCCAGAATGTAATAAAGGAAGCTATCGAATGCAACAAAACTACTGCAGAATACAGTACACCATTAATACCAAAATGTATTGATAATTATATTTATCACACTGGTATTTGGTGCCAAAACAAGATAACGGAAGCCAGCCACACCCTGTCTTTTATCATTCCAAGTTGATGACACATTAAAATTTAATCACGGAAACAAGATGTCATACAATGGAAAGTTGTAGACATGCATGTGAGCTTTGAAGCTCACACACAATCTTCATCCCAGATGCCAGAGGACAACCATCCCCTCCTCTCCACGTGCTCTCCATCGATCCTACTTCTGTCTGTGAAAACAAAATCTCTGGAGAGGCTGAATGTGTGGCATTGTCTTCAAATGAGACAAATATAAATGATTCCACTTCTGTTCCAATCCTCTCCCATTGCCCTAGGAGCTCCTTTAACAGACACTTCTCACATGCTGCACAGCATTTGATTATTCCTTCCCAAAATTGCATGCAGTGCAGCGGTCCTCAATCACAGCTGAGACAACAATGCCTACAGAATCCTCCAGCGAAAAAGCACACTGGCCCTGGAATGCAAATAAAAGTCGGGGAGGAAATGAGGGAGCAAAAGGAAAAAGTAACAGCATTACTCGGCATAAAACTGTTAATTTATTCCAGTTGAAGAGCCTTGGATATAGCATGCTTTCAGAATTTCACTACGAGCAGCTACTAGATCAGGGCATTATACAGAGGCATCCCATGTTTCTCTCCTTATACCCTCAGCAGAGAACTGCAGCTAATCACAGCTCCCCCCATAACCTAAATTGTTTGAAGATGTGCTGTATGCTGAATACAACCCATTCAGTGCAAATGTGACAAGGCTGTCCCATTAGCACAAAGAATTTCACCTGTACAATGGGACTTCCTCTCATTTTCTCTACACATTCCTGCACCGCCTGAAATCTGCTCCAAAGGGTAAGGGGAACTCTAGGAACAGTCTCAAGAAAGGAAGTCTCATTGGACAAGCAGAAGTCCCTGCGTGAACAGAATGGGCTTCACTGGATGCAACCCTACTTTTCTTTTTTTAGGCGTATACAAAAACCATATCTGGCATACGGTACAACAGAAATGGGGATCCTGTGGTCCTCCAGATGTTGTTAGTCTGCGGCTCCCATCATCTGTGACATGCAACAACCACATTCCAGCAAGAGCTTGCAGAAGTGGAAACGTAACCAATCGAACCTTTAGTACAAGCTGAAGGACGAGAGCAGAATGGCTCGCGTCCAGCAGCTCCCGGCCGAGAGTGAGCAGCTGGAGCATGAGATGCTGATAGAGCATGAGATGGAGAGGATGTTGACTGATGGTCAAACCAGGCACTATGAGAACAAAGACAGGGCAGAGGTCACCGATTCCATCTCTCTACCCAGTTCTCTGGCAGGTCTACTAGGATGGCTATTGCTGAGTTGTAGCAGAACTGTTGGGTTCCGCTGCAACTCAGAAGAGTGATGGGGTGTGACTTTGCTAGGCACCTGCCCACAGATCTATTCACGGATACCATCACCTTTGTTGTTTTACATTGCTACTGTTTGTGGGGGCCAATGGTGGTACTTCTCACTGAGAATGTGGAGCCCCCAGGGCGACGGTGTACAGTTTATCCAAATCTCTTGGGTAGGGGGGTCTGCAGCTCTAACGGGAGAAGGGCTGTTGCCCATGGACACACATCTATGTGACAGAGTGTGGGACACCTGGTGCTTCTTTTAATTAATTTTTTTGCAGGCATTTCTATTGGATCAAGGTCCAACCCCCTGCAATGCTGGAATCTCAACATGCGGTCCCCCATCCAAATTTGAAACCATGCCGGGGCCTGCTTAGCTTTGCAAATGTGCTGGCAGTTTTATTGCTTTATCACCAGGACACAATCCTTATGATCACAAATGCAAATAGCACTGTGACATCTGCTTCACAAATTCTCTTCTCTTTGTTCTTGGGATTAGCTAAAAACTGAACATCAGAAAATTAAATCAGTGCTCTCTGCATACTGCTGTCTAAAACATGGCCTCTGGGTGGAATTCCATTCAAACATGCTAGACTTTTAAAAAATACCTGAAGATCTCTCTTTCTTTCTTTCAGGGGAAGTTGCAATTTCCAGTGCTCAAGAAGACCAAAGGCTGTTTTGAAATTGCAGCAGGACAATATTTTTTTAAATAGTGAAAACAATTTTGCAACTTCAGTAGTGGACTAAGCCAGTACTGGCTTTATTTCTGAAATGGAAAGAGTATTTTGATCAACTTTTAAAAGTTTGCTTTTGTCAGTTCCAGCTCTTTCTCAAGCCTACATTTTGAGGCTGGAAACAAGAATAACTTGTTTCAGATGTAAAATCCAGAGGCTGTGCATTAATTATTGGCTTAGGTTTGCCAGAATGGAGGATTTTAACTGAGCAGGTTTTAAGGAAATGGGAAATTTGGACCCAAAATATAAACCCAGTAAATCTACACTGGAGAAGCAGAGTTATTTTTACTACAACAGAAAAAAATAGGTTTTTTTCAGTGCAGTGCGAATAGCAGAGACAATTTCATTCTCTAGGGCTGAAGTCAAACTTTCTCAAAGTTCATTACAACTTGCAGAATTTAATTAGTGCCCCCCACTCACCATGGCCCTATGTACACACTAATATATCTCAATAGCAATTTGAGCATAAATGAGAAATATTTTTAATGGCAAAGTGTGGAAAACCTAATAAATAATTTTGAGTAAACTGTATTTAGTTGTAAATATTGCTTGACAATGTTATTTAAATAAGGGATAGGTGCCGATCTGTAAATTGACTTTTTTAAAATTATTCAGAAAAAGCAAAACTGAGTGTAATGGCCAGAGAACACAAAAAACTTTTCATATTAAGCAAAGCATGACATTGGCTTTCAAAAGAGCAATTGGGAAAATTTAAATAAAACAAAACCGACCACTTCAGGTAGGCCAAAGATGTTTTCACATCTCACTTTCCTTAGTTACACAAATGCTGACCAGAAATATTTATTTAGGATGACCAAATGAGAAGCAAAACAAACAACTTTAAAAAACCCTTATTTTAAAGTCTGTCAAATATTCTGCTTCAGAAGTCTTATCCAGCCATTTATTGTGATTAGAGGACAACTGCAAATAAAAGCCAATGGTTATTATCTCCCCCAACCCCATATTCTATTCTGCTTCCATCCATATGAAACCTTCTCTGTCACCTCATAAAATATTAGCAATGAAGCCAGCCTGAGAAGGAGTTCACACATCCATGTCCAAGACTTGATGACTGCAGTGTCAAGTTGTAGCGCATGTGACATGCATGTGAGCGAGACAACCTTCACAGGTCACACTTCTTCAAATATGGAGGCAATCCGCACATCTGGCTGCAAGTCACTAGATTATGCACACCCATCTGTTCTGCAGCCCTTAAGGGTCCTTAATTCTAGAAACATTTACTAGAGAATAAGGTCACACAGATCACAGTGGGCCTTACTTCCAAATAAACATCTGTAAAATTCTGCTGTAAATTGATCAGCAACAGATCCCTTTACTATTTAAAGACAACATTGCTTCTTCTCCCACTCTCTCAACGGAAATACCTTTGGAAAACCATCCCTGGGTTAATCTGAATGGAAGAGAACCTCCTCTAAATCTCCAGATTGCATTTTGAAATAGATATATTTAGATGCACTGCCCAATCTTTTTCTCCAGTGTGGTAGATAATTCGTTTTGCAGGAGGCTATTCAAGCTGTGCAAATCAGATATTTCCCTCGTCCTATCACCCGCTTTGTGTGTGTCTGCAACAGTGTGCAGGTGTGAGGGGGAGAGAAGAGCATTTTTGCAAAACTCTCTAATCTGGAGATGATGCAGAATGGGCACAAAAATACCTGCCGGAAACTCTTTGCCCTCTAAACACCAGCCAGAGGGCAAATTGTATGTAACACTGAGAGCTTTGCTCCTCTGTAGCACAGGTTGGTTTTCCACCGACAGGTGATGTTCCTGCAACCTGGGTTAATAAATGAATGGGGATGGCGGGTGTTTTGGGGGGCAGGCAGTTAAGGGAGTCACAGAGGCTGCAATCCTAGACACGCTTTCTTGAGAGCAAGTCTTGCCGAACTCAGTGGCACTTACTTCTGAGTAGGCATGCCTAGGGTTGCCCTGCAAAACTTAAAGAGATCCAAACCGTTCCAGCAGGCAAGAAAACCCTCCCCTAAAAAAAAAAGCGAGAAAGAAACTAATCTAATTCCTTCGCTCCCCCTCCCACACGTCCCCTTTTTTGAAGCAAACTAAAAGGCCGGTTCTCCTGTACCTAAAGGCTGCGTTCTTTTGTATGTTTACTCGGGAGTAAGCCACGTGGAAGGCTTTCCTAGCAAACCGACCCAGAACCGGGTTGCTCGGCTGCAATCCTGGACTACTACTTCCTTGGAAACAGGCAAGTTCTAGCGAGGCTTCTTTCCGAGGCAAATTGCTTCGGATCCGGGGGGATCGCCTCGTCCTTTTGCGTTCGGCGGAGGGACGCTGCGGAAATGCCAGGCTGTCCCGGGAGATCTCCGGGACGGGAAGGCTGCTCCGATGGCAGGACTTTAAACGACACCATTCAAAAGCCTCTCTGAGCAGAAGGTGGGGGAAATCTGGAGCCGAGGAGGGTTAGGGAGGGCGCGCGTGCAATCCAGAAAGGGAGACCGCGGAGGGGACGCCGGCTCACTGACCTGCGCGGGCGGGATCCCGTCTGGCTTTCCCCGGAGGAACGAGGCTGCGAAGCGCCGGGCAGCCGGAGCGACACCGAATCGCCGCCCGCCTCGCTCTACAAGCCACCCGGCCAGCACTGCGCTCCGCCGAAGAAGCGGCTGGCAAGAGCCCGAGGGGCGTGGCTGCCGCTGGTCCGCCCCTGGGAGGGGAGAGGCCCCCGCCGCCCAATCAGCAGCCGGCTCTCGCCCTGTTTAGAATAAAGACTCCCCATCGAATTCCTTCACCTTTGGCCGCAGTCGCTTCCCTTCGCATCTTTCTGGAGCGGGTGGGGTGGAGGCTCCCTCCGCATAGATATGTGAGATGCGAAGGCTCTGCTTTCCATTTCCTTCCAGACACGTTGTTGTTTTTTTAAAGACCCTTCCCCACTTTCCCGTTTAGCAGATACATAATTCACCTGGCCTGCTGAGAACAGGCAGGGCTGGCCCCGCCATGAGGCAGACTAGAGCAGCCGCCTCAGGCAGCCAGAATCCAAGGGCACCTGCCATGGGTGCCCCTACTGAAGGGAGAAGCTGTGGCAGCAACGCAGGATTTAGGGCAGTGCTAGAGGTTCCTGGGTGGCGCTGTGGGTTAAACCACAGAGCCTAGGGCTTGCCGATCAGAAGGTCGGCGGTTCGAATCCCCACAAGGGGGTGAGCTCCTGTTGCTCGGTCCCTGCTCCTGCCAACCTAGCAGTTCAAAAGCACGTCAAAGTGCAAGTAGATAAATAGGGACTGCTCCAGTGGGAAGGTAAACGGCATTTTCGTGCGCTGCTCTGGTTTGCCAGAAGCAGCTTAGTCATGCTGGCCACATGACCTGGAAGCTGTCTGTGGACAAACGCCAGCTCCCTCAGCCTATAAAGCGAGATGAGCATGCAACCCCAGAGTCGTCTACGACTGGACCTAACAGTCAGGAGTACCTTTACCTTTAGAGGTTCCCGTGCACAGGATGCTGAGCTGAAGGGATGCAAAACTGAGAAGGTCCATAACTGAGAAGATCCCATTTTTGGCCTTGACCAAGGCAGCATATTACCGAAATCTATTCCCGCTTCCAGGTTCTGGTGAGATCTTGTGAGAGCCCCAAGAGAACTTGCAGGGATCTCACTGGAACCCGGAAGTTGCTGCCACACAACCCAGGTAAGCAAGGCTTTGGCCGGGGCGCAGGGCGGCTCCTTCCTGCTTCACCTCAGGCAGCGAAATGGGGCAGGCTGCCACTGAGAACAGGTACCCTTCTGCAATCCAACAAAGATTTTGTGCAGCAGGATCTACAGGACTTTGGGATGTTTTCTGGGAAAGCAGAGGCTGCTCCATTAGGGCTAAAGAGGTACAGCTTCACCAACCTCAGCCTGCCATCAACCTGTCCCTTGCCCACCTGCCTTTCTTCTTCTTTCAACCAGTTGGGGAGCGAAGGCCAGAACTACCTGAGGCAACTTCCTCCTCCTCCTCAGGGTGCTACAAACCATGCATTTCCCCCAAAGAATCATGGGGATTGTAGTTAACCCCCTCACAGAGCAGCAGTCTCCAGCACCCTGACTAAACTGCAGTTCCCATAATTATTTGGGTTCTTGTGTTTAAAATTAATGGTGTGTGGAACGTAACAAGGAGGAGGAGGAAGACAAAAGTGGCATTAGTTGGCTCAGCCTGTCATAGCCTCTGGCTCCACCTACTGCTGGTCCTCCTTTCTGCCCAATGGGCACCAGTCACCACTGGAGAGGTGCTCAGTACAGCAGCAGCACAACCAGATGGCTTCATCTCAGCTACAACAAACAAAACATGTCTCTCCCGTATTGGTTTGCACAGTCACAGCAGAAGGAGTATTTTGCCGTGAAAGCAAAGGACAGGATCATCCTGGTGTTCTGTACAGTTATATCTCAGGTTACAGATGCTTCAGGTTGTGTTTTGTCGGGTTGTGGACCGCCGAAACCCGGAAGTACTGGAATGGGTTACTTCCGGGTTTGGGCGGTTGCACATGCGCAGAAGTGCTAAATCGCGCTTTGTGCATGCACAGAAGTGCCAAGTCACAACCTGCGCGTGCGCAGATGAGCCGCTGTGGGTTGCGGACGCTGCGGGTTGCGGACGTGCATCCCGCATGGATCACGTTCGCAACCCGAGCATCTACTGTAATCAGTGGCACCACAACATTTGAAAATCTATTATTTCCATCAATTGCAGGCAAAACTGGTATATATCAGGTTTGGATCAATATTTTTATTATTATCATCTCTCATATTTTGTCCACACAAAACCCACAAAAACCAATGTCAAAGGATGTTATGGCAGATTTTTGTGTGTGTCATGTTAAGTGAAGAGAAGAACATTGCTTGAATGGTTGATAAAGGACAGTGATAACTACTTCATGTCTTTTGAACTAGCTGAAGGTGCTAGCCTAATAGCTTTTCACATATGGTGGCTCCTATCTTTAGTACACTCCATTTGCTTAGCTGGCGGCTGGAGAAAAAGAATTTGCAACTGGAATGTGACCTATGAAAGAAACAAGAGTTTTTCTCTCTGCCTGGGAGTGGTATGCTGTTTGCTTTTGGAGGAATTGGAATTGTCTGTCTGGATGTTTGCTTTTCCTCCATGCTCAGTTTGTACATTTGTAGATAAACAGATATTGCAAAAGCACCATGCCTCCAGTGTTCTCTCTTCACAAGGAAGCAGACCCAGGATTCAGTAGCTCCTGGAACTTCCTGCCACTTGCTTGAGGTATTAGACAGGTATAAACCTGACTTGATTTTAGCAAATGCAGTGGTGGGAAACCTGTAGCCCTCCAGATGTTGTTCAACTCATAAGAACATTGGAATATCCTACTGGATGAGGCCTAGTTGAACATCCTGTTCTAGTGGCCAAACAGATACCTGTGAGAAGCATACAGGCAGCACCTGAACACAACAGCACTCTGCCACTGGTATTCAGAAGCATAGTGCCGCTGACAGTGGAAGTAATCTCTTAAAGCCATCCAAGTTAATGGCCATCACAGTCTCCTGTGGAAGTGAGTTCCACAGTTTAAATCTGCACAGTGTGAAGAATTACTTCCATTTGTTTGTCCTGAATAAACAACTTCATTGGATGTTCCTGAGTTCTAGCGTTACGAGAAGTGAAGAAAAACCTCTCTCTATCCACTTTCTCCATAGGATGTATAAATGTTATGCACCTCTAACATGTCTCCTCTTACTTGTCTTTTCTCTAATCTAATCTCCTGCTCCCAATGTTTCAACCGTTCCTCATAGGGGAGTTGTTCCATCCCTTGGATCATTTTGGTTGCCTTTGGTTAGCCTTGACTCCAGCTCCCTTCAGCCCTAGCCTTGCTGGCCAATGGCCAGAGATGGTGGAAGTGGTGGTCCAACAACATCTCGGCACCACTTCATTCTCCACCCATATTGTACAATACAGATTCTGACCCCTGAGACAGATAGGTAGCCGTGTTGGTCTGCCATAGTCAAAACAAAAAAAATTCCTTCCAGTAGCACCTTAAAGACCAACTAAGTTAGTTCTTGGTATGAGCTTTCGTGTGCATGCACACTTCTTCAGATACACTGAAACAGAAGTTGCCAGATCCTTCTATATAGTGAGAAGGTGGGGAGGGGTATTACTCAGAAGGGTGGTGGGAATGGGTGATTGGCAGATAGCTGTGATGAGCCTGTTGACGACTCTTAACGACTGCAAAAGGTCTTACAGGAAAAAGCAAGGGGTGAGAAGGTGAAAAATGGCTTTGTCATGTATAATGAGATAAGAACCCAATGTCTTTGTTCAGACCAGGTCTCTCCATGGTTTTAAGTTTGGTAATAAGTTGCAATTCAGCAGCTTCTCTTTCCAGTCTATTTCTGAAATTCCTTTGTAGTAAAACAGCTACTTTGAGATCTTGTATAGAATGTCCTGGGAGATTGAAGTGTTCTCCTACTGGTTTCTCTGTCTTGTGATTCTTGATGTCAGATTTACAAGAATTGCCCTTTCAGACTTCCGGGTTGACGCGATCTGGAAATGGCGGATTCCCTCCGAGCTCCGGAGGGAATCGGCTCCACTGAGGATGGGTCTTTGCCGCGCCGGCGACGCGGGGACCCTTAAAACCGCAGGCGCTGAAGCCTGCGGACTGAAGACTCGGCGGGTGCCTTAAGCGCCCCCCCTGATTCGCAAAGAGCCTTTTTAAAGGCTGCGGAGGGGATACGGGGGTGGCGTGGCACTGAGAGTCGATCGCTACCTCGGTGGAGCGAAGCCGCGAGCCATGACCGGAGAGCGTTGACTTCCTTCCTTGAAAATTTGGACTGAAAGAATCACCCGTGAGTAAGACGGATTGGGACTTTTGAAAAACTTTACCTTTAATTGGAGACGACCGGGGGGTGTGCTAAAAGGAAGTCCGCACCCCCCCCTTTGCAGACCATCTAAGCAACGACACAAGAGATAAGCTGGAGAGCCTACCCTTGGTGGGGTGAGTTAAAAAGGACACTAACTTTCAAGATTTTACTAAAGGAAAATTTTGTGCAGGAGAGTGGAGTTTTGGAAACCTTCCTTCTGTTTTAAACAACCCCCCGCCCGGGCTCGGGAACGTCCTGCCTTCGTGCCTGCGTTAGAGCTGCGGAGTTTGACAGCTGTCAAAGCTGCCAAACGGGCGGTTTAAAGTGAGAAATTGCCATTTAAGATTTTTATGGACTAAGACGAGTTATAATTGAGCTGAAACTGTTGGAAACAAAGTAATAATAATCAGTTTAAGGATTGTTGGTGAAAAGGCAAATAAGTAACCAGATTCCCCCTAGGGGGAATTCTGTGAAACTACAATGGATACAATGGCTGTGGAAGGAAAGTTACTAGTGGAAATCGAAAGGATGTTTCAATTGGTGGGAATCTTACAGGAGCAGAGTTTGGCCATGAACAAACAACTTGAGACTATGACCTTGGGAACAGGCAACTCTGCTCTTTGTATTGAGGACCTCAATGAGAAAGAATCCACAGCTGATTGGGAAACAATATCTACAGAGCTGGAAGAGACTAAACAACAAGAAAAAGAAGAAGTAATCCTGGGAAGTAACAACCAAAAGTTGACATCTGTGGAATACAAGCAAGGAGACGCTGGGAACATATTCACCACAAGTCTGCGAGAGATACAGAAGAAGAAGGAGGAGGCCCCAAGACAAAATGGAGT